AACACAAAGAACCTAAACTATTTTTATATGAATAACTCTCTTTTGAATGATACATATTATAAATACCTAAAACTAGGGTTTCAGTAATATTTTTATGTTTAATAAATGCCAGACCACCCCAAATATGAACACAATATTACTTTTTAAGTCTCTAAAATGTACTTAAAATTGACAGATCAATATATGTAGTTTCAGAAATCACTGCTTTAGAAATAATTTTATGTATAACACTGTAAATTATAATTTTTGTTTCTAAATTTAAAATTATTCTCCAAAATGCTGTTATTTGCCATAAACACATAACAAAGATGTCATCGAATGCCTGAGGAACTTATATTATAGCATCATCTACTTTAATCAAATGTTCCTACCAAAATGTCACAATGTCACTAGTTTGCCTTTAAATAAATATTGCCACACCAGTCCATCACCACACATTCCACCCCATCTCCACCCCATGTGTTAAGTCCCATGCCTTAATTTGCTTTTTCATTTTTCTCCATCATTTTTATTTAAAGTATTCTCTTTTTAAAAAATGTACCCTGACATTCCAAATTCAATGATCATATTTCTATCATTCTCTTCCAAATATGCACAGGTAAAATTAAATTTGGAGATTAGATTGAGAACAGAAAAAGGTTGAAAGTATAAATCAAATCCGCAAAACTAAAGGTTATGTTTTGTACTGCAAAGTAACATTTCAAAGGACAAGTCAACTACAATGTTTAAGAAAAATATTAAATAGTTCAAAAGGAGTCATTTTAAGCACTATAAATTAGATTAGACTGAAAAAGAAAAATACTAAATGTGATTCATAAAAATGTCATGGTCAAGTATATCACTTGACTAACACTTACTGATCTATGCTACACAAATTCACTCAGTTCAGCAATATAAAGGAATTCTTAAAGCCTCACATAAGTGTGAGGTAATTCCGAAATCTCGATTTGTTTTTATTTGTTTTGTTTTGTATTTTTGCTTAAAGTTTCAATAGTAGTACAGTAATTTAAGAAACAGAATCTTAAAAATTTTAGATCTTCAGGATCACTGCCTTCTTATTTCAAAATATTACAAATCAACTCAACATTTAATTTTTCATTCTATTTGCATTTAGCTAAAAGTGACAACCCAAAGCATTTCATTACCAACCATATTTATGTTATGTGTATGCACATTTTAAAGTAAAAACTCTAGACCTAAAGTCATTAAAAAGTAGAACTGGAAAATCAAGTATATTATTTATCCTAGAAATATCTTACTGTTATTTCTGCAGGCCAAAAAGAGGTATCCCTACCATATCTGTGTTCCCTTCTCTTGTTCTTTTCTCCCAGTTTTAGCCTCTTCTTTATTCCCTATGCATTCTGGACTCTGAGGTCGGTCACTTTATTCTCTACCTCTCAGCTTGTCCTTTGTTTTCCATCCCACTTCACTCTTCAACCACCTTCCCCAGACAACGTAAGCATTGATGGACAATAATCATACCAGTTGTACCAATCTGTACAACAAAAATACAAATTGATCATTTCATCTCTATCCCTTGACATATATCTTCAATCAGATCCCTCTTCTATTCACTTTCATGGTCTATCAAAACCTTTGGGACAGAACCTAGACACAGAACCTACATAGAACCTAGACACAGAACCTACATAGAACCTAGAGACAGAAGAACTTCGCTGGAGAGAACATGGCAAAAGATCCTGGACAGAAACTGGAGACAGAACCTAGAGACAGAACCTAGCGAGAGAACCTGGCTGAAGAACCTGGATAGAACATGGCAAGAGAACCTGACTAGAACATGGCGACCGAACCTGGCTGGAGAACCTAGAGAGGGAACATGGCTACAGAACCTGGCTGGAGAACCTGGAGAACCTGGCTGGAGAACCTGGAGAACCTGGCTGGAGAACCTAGCAAGAGAACATGGACACAGAACTTGGCTGGAGATTGTGGCTAGAGATCCTGGCAAGGCTGCTGATCAACTGAACGCTGTCTCCGTGTCATTCCTTCTTCGCCGACTCCGTCCACACCTTTGGGGACCCCTGGACCCGCTGGGGCTGGACCCCAGCAACGGAGCAGACAGAACGGAAGCCAGTCTAGTTCCATGGAGGTGGGGGCCCCTCAGAACCCCATGGGCAGCACCTCCACGGTCCACTTTCCTGGAGCCCCTCGGGTACTCTGGAACACAGTTTGGAAATGTGGTTTTAAAACATCAACTGATGCCCGGCTGGTGTGGCTCAGTGGTTGAGCGTCGACCTATGAACCAGAAGGTCATGGTTCGATTCCGGGTCAGGGCACATGCCCTGGTTTCTGGCTCGATCCCCAGTGTGGGGCATGCAGGAGGCAGCCAATCAATGATTCTCTCCCCTCATTGATGTTTCTATCTCTCTCTCCCTCTCCCGTCCTCTCTGAAATCAATAATATCAATCAATCAATCAATAAATCAAATAAACATCAAAAAAAAAAAAAAACCTTTGGACACTTTTTTTCAATTTTGTGCCCACTCAATTATCAGCATATGACCTAAGCTTAACACTTCATAGCAAATTGAGACAATCATCCAGAAATGCCAACTTCCTGCCCACGCTCACTGAGCCCCATCATTGCTTCCTTCCTTGCAATCTATAGAAAGCATTCTGTCTTGTGTTCTTAATATCATCTCCTCCAGAAATGAATGATACTGGTCCACCATTCAACCTTTGATATTTTTCTTCAACCACTCCCACTCCATTAGTTTTATCCCACCATCTCTAAGTCTCTCCTAATCTTAAAAAAAATGTCCTCAACTCTGGATGCCTTCTATAGTTTCCATCTAATATCTCTCAATCTCTATTAAGAATTCCTGCCGAAACCGGTTTGGCTCAGTGGATAGAGCGTCGGCCTGCGGACTGAAAGGTCCCAGGTTCGATTCCGGTCAAGGGCATGTACCTGGGTTTCGGGCATATCCCCAGTAGGAGATGTGCAGGAGGCAGCTGATCGATGTTTCTCTCTCATCGATGTTTCTAACTCTCTAGCCCTCTCCCTTCCTCTCTGTAAAAAATCAATAAAATATATTTAAAAAAAAAAAAAAGAATTCCTATGAAGACTAATGTAAACTCAGTCACTGCTTTATATTCCTTTTTATTCAATACAATTAATTTTTATCTCCATCATTAGCATTTTTGCACAGCTTTTCTCTGTACCTCCTTTGCACTTAGATTTTCCTCTGAGTTCCAGTCTTCATGCTCTTCTTATTCTCAACTCTCAGAATTCCTTACATAAACATTCAATTGCCTATAAAATCTCCACCTAAATGTTCCTGAAACATACCAAGTCAACTAATCATTTCTTACATTTTTCCCTAATCTTAGTATGAATTTTTATCTGTTTGGTGAAACTGAAATTTACCAAACTACACAGTAACAAGAGGGCCATTCTAGAACTCTCCATTTCCCTTGTCACTGCTCTAGATCCAAGCAATAAGAAATTCTTCAAATTAAACCCACAAATTTCTTTCTTCATTTTATACCCTCATGACCACTGTATAGTTCAGGCTTTCACCATCTCTTTTGGATAATTATAAACAGCTTTCCCAGGCAACACCTCACAAAAGACTTCTATGCTCTGGTCTCAATTTCGCAAATCTGTTCTCTATATAACTGGTATAATTAAGTTACTGAAAAGAAATCAGATCATAACATCTACTTAATTGTTTAAAACTATTGGCTCTTTAGTTATTTTGCAAGACCTTTTGTGACCTGATCCTAATTATTCAATCTCATTTCCTCCTTCTCTCCAATACCCTAACCGCACAATTTAAAAAACAAAACAATGTTTTAAATTCTCTTGAACATATACCCAGAGTTTAAGATCATTTTATCTGTGTGTTTTGTCCCTCTGCCTACAAAAGCCTTCTATAGGTGCACACATACCAGATAAATCTTTAACCTTGAAGCTCCGGTTTCTTTTTGACTTCTATTCCACAATGATCTCCTCCAGGTAGAGTAAATTACTTCTTCCTCTGGGCTATCCCTGTATTCTTTACCTATTCCTGTTACTCCATCACATTCTATATTTGGCCTCACTAAAAAACTCAGAATTCATCTTTTTCATAATGATACCCATGAATGGTTTATGAAGAAATATACTATATTTGACATATTACTTTACCCTGAAATAAAAGCATTTTGACGGCAGAGTAGAAAGTAAACCTGTAAATTTTGAAGGAATAAATCTGCAATCCTTAATCAGGACAAAATATTGTAATATTCAAAGGGAAAATAATCACCTTAGCACATAGAAAATAGTGGGGGGGGGGGGAAGTAATTCTCTAAAAATACAGAGGTTAGGAGCACAGGATCAGAGTTTTTCTCAGAATACACATGAAATACTTAGCATTGTGCCTGGAACGCAATTATATGTTCTTAAAAGTTAATGCTATTATAGTTAACATTATTAACTGAAGTGACTAGGTTTGGACGAATTTAAAGTTGTTTTAGGTCACAGGTACTTTTGATCTTGGTCCTAAAAATTATGAATTCCACCAAAGAAAAAACATTTAAGAGTGGCTTCTTATATTAGTAAATGTGATAAATTGTACCTACCTTTATTACTTCCTAAGCAACTAATTTATAATGGCTTTTTCCTTAATTAAAATCATTATATCATCGCCCTGACCGGTTTGGCTCAGTGGATAGAGCATCGGCCTGAGGAGTGAAAGGTCCCAGGTTCGATTCCGGCCAAGGGCATGTACCTTGGTTGTGGGCACATCCCCAGTAGGAGGTGTGCAGGAGGCAGCTGATCGATGTTTCTCTCTCATCGATGTTTCTAACTCTCTATCCCTCTCCCTTTCTCTCTGTAAAAAATCAATAAAATATATTTTTTAAAAAAAATCATTATATCATCAAGAAATTCTACCGAAGAGACTTACCAATTTCTCCTTGCTAAAGTTCCTTTGTCACTATACATTAAAACAAATGCACCACATAATGAACACAGCAAAATGTAAGGAATACTTTTCTTACAGTTGTAAGAGTTGCTTTACCTTCAGGGGCATCTGCATCACATCTCTTTGGCACAGAAAGGGTTAAGTTGCCTTTATAATCATCATAAGTTATATTGCTCTGAAAGATGAAAATTAAAAATCATATTTTGATTCCAAAGTAATCACAATAACTTTATACTCTGTTTTCTATTAAACTACATCTAACACTCTAAATAGTAAGTTTTAAGATAAACTTAACATGAAGATTTTATTGCAACAATCCTTGGGTCCTGTGTTGAACAGAACTCCTTCCCAGAGAAAGAACCCACTTATTTTTTCCACAGTGAAGCAAGAAAAAAATATCGTTGGTCCATGGAAAAGCATGATCTTCATTCATTCAAAGAAAAATGTTTAAAAAGCATGACCCAGTCAACTACGTGCTGGGGATGAGGCAAGAAGAGAATAAAAAAGTATGAGAAGTGAGATTTATGATTCGGGTGATCTTCTAGTATTGTGTTTCCCAAACTCAAGTCATTCCTGTACCTCCACCATGATTGCTCCTCCCACATTATTACTTAACTTTGTTCAATGAACCTTAGCAATATTATAGATGGTATTGATTGAGGGCTTGATGGGCTCGTTAGATGCTTTTGTCCCTAACTACATGTTAAAGTAAAAAAGGATGGAAGATAAAGTACAGGATAAAAAAAGGAATGATCTGAACAGACTATCTTAACAATGAAGACTCTATTAAAGCAAGGCTTGAACGAGACCCTGAAACATGGATTAGATTTGAATTGACAGAAAGTAGAATAAGGTATTTTAGGAAAAGGAAAAAATACTAAACAAAGGTTGAATCAGATATGGCCAAAATATTTTAAATTGTCAAAAAACCCAAACTAGCTGCCCAATTATAAATAGGAACCACGGCTGCCTTTGAAAGATCAGTATCAAGAAATCAGTGTTACAGGTAAGAGAACACCCAGTTACCTACAAATAAAATATTTATAAAGCATCTCTGTGGCATTCATAGTACTGATGAGCAGACATATTTTTCTTATCAAAACTTTTTGGGGAACTATATTAATAAATTTACTTAAAATGCTATTTTAGAGGAAATGTTATGGGTTTTATTAAAGTTCTGATGTAAAGCTAAGTAGCTTAGCATCACAGGATCCATTTAAAAATATTTTAATGAATAGTGTGTCATTTTTAAAAAGAACCTGTAAGAAACAAATATAAATATGCTCAAAAATGGATAAAACAGGTTTAGCAAAGATAAATTTTATCTGAAGAACTCATATCTTATGTTAGCCTTCATAAATTAAAATTTGCTTTAAAATATCAGTATATTTAAAATATCAAAATAATGAATTTTTAAGTTTTGCACTTACCTCTATTAAGTAATTTTGGCTTCCATACATAACATACTGGGGAGCAAGACTATAAATCATATAGCTAGTGTGAAGGACAATAAGCAGAAGTATCATGCAGAGAAATAAGAGTGCCTGGGGCCTGGTCCTGCCTCTTCTGATTTTATATAACTGGAAAGAAAAAAGACAGTAACAACATTTCAGCAATATATTTATTTGTAAGGCACTAAGTACTGCTCATGTTTTAGGGGCAATGAACACAGTTTAATCAATCATTTCTTTTTTCAAAATAAATACTAAGAATTCATAATCATTCCAAATAATTGTAAGGATGGTAAAAACAATTTTCTCCCTGCACAGATTTCAGGTTTAGATTTGTTTCTTTCAAAACTAGAGGCCCGGTGCACGAAATCTGTGCACGATTGGGGGGGGGGGGGTCCCTCAGCCCGGCCTGCACCCTCTCGCAATCCGGGAACCATCCCCTGATGTCCGACTGCCGGTTTAGGCCCCATCCTGCAGGATCGGGCTTAAACTGGCAGTCGGACATCCCTCTCGCAATCCGGGACCACTGTCTCCTAACCGCTCGCCTGCCTACCTGCCTGATCACCCCTAACCACTCTGCCTGCCTGCCTGATCACCCCTAACCACTCTGCCTGCCTGCCTGTTCACCCCTAACCACTCTTGCCTGCCTGCCTGATTGCGCCTAACTGCCTCTGCCTCAGCCCCCACCACGGCGGCTTCGTCTGGAAGGATGTCTGGAAGGTCATTCGGTGTTCGGTCTAATTAGCATATTATGCTGTTATTAATATAGATCATGGCAAAGCATCTATATCCAAAGGAACCTTTAAATTATTCATGAAAAACTCAGGACCCAGAGAATATATCAATATTTGCATGGTCTGTTTCCAGACAAACATTCTAAATTTATTACACAATAGCATCTGTAAGAAGTTCATAGAGCTAAGAATTGTGAACTACCTCTAATTTTATCTAAAAATTAGAATTAGTTTATATAAGTATTTATTTGTGGTTTTATATAATAATACACAAGAACAGACATATCACATGATTATAAATATTCATTTCTATGAAATACTCAACATCCTCATACTGTCATAAAATCTAGTTTATGATAATATGACTACATATTCTCATATGTACCTATAACAGAGCAAAACTAAAACATATACTAACAAATACAAGGAACTGGGTAGCTTGCTTCAATAGCAGAGCACACTTTCATTTTAGCAATAAGGTACCACCCACCTGTTTTATTATTGGACTGTAGTATAACATAGAGTAATAGAATTCCAGTTCTGGATGGGATGATGATATAATCACCTAAAATTTTACCTTTCCCAGCTTCCCTTGCACCTAGTAGTGGCTAGCAGTGATAAAATATTAAACATCAAAGAAAAGTCAAAGTCTACTGGCAATTTCTGGGAAAGTTCTGTTTTATTATAGGTGTCACCCCTTCCTCCTAGCTACCTTTTCCTTATGTAATGTGGACAGGATAAATAGAGCTGCAGCTGTCAAATTACAATAATGAGGGAGAAGCCAAGAGGATTACAGAGATATTGGTTTGACATTTTTGAGCTACTCAACCAATGCCAGATTTTCTTTTCCACAGCAAGAAGTCACTCATTAGTTCAAGCCACTATTTAAGTGGTTTTTCTTGTACCCACAGGTAGAAGTAGTCTCTATCTGATACAGCTTCATTTTAAAATTCTTAATTCGCCTCAAAATGAACATAAGAAGAAAATAACCCTTTCTCCAATCATATAATGATCTTTAACTCCTAGTAGCAAGGACCATCTTTTGAACTACAGTGTATCCAATTGTGCTTCAATGTGTTTCCATGAAGCCAAACATTAAGGAAAATAATATAACTTCTAGACCAGAGCTTCCCATCCTCGGCGCAGGTGACGTTATGGGCGGGATGAGTCCTTGTTGTCTGAGGCTGCCCTATGCACTACAGGCTGTTTATCAGAATCCCTGGTCTCTCCCCACTAGGTGCCAATAGCGCCCCCTAGTGGTAGCAGCTGGAAATGTATCCAACATTGCCAAAAGTATCCAGGGGGCAAAATCACTCCTATTTAGGTAATAACCAGTGCTCTCAACAAAAGCACCTTTATGTTAGTATAAAGTAAAAAGGCTAATTTTCCATCACTTTTAGTATCAATGTACTTATAACTTCTATATTATAAATATAACTTTCAATAATAAAGAGTATGTGCAAAATGAAAGTAATAATACTGTAATATATACTCACTCTAATCCAAAAGAACCATATGCCAATATTTCTAATCCCCGCCATTGAAGTAAAAATAAAGTACATAATAATAATTGTTATAAGAATGTAATCAAGAGGGAAAACCTGGAAAAAAAGATAAAATTAAATTCAATACACACACACAGGGCTTTAGAAGTCATATAAAATTAACTGAAATGTCATTATTTATATTTGGCAAATATTTAAAATATCAACCCTGATTTAAATCAGGCTACTATAAAAATAAAAAATAAATCCCCCCCAAACAATTACCAAACTATGACCAAATTGTTTAGTACCATTATCATAAGAAAAATCCTGTAAGAAATTAAGCTAAAAATTACATTTAAATATGAATAAAAAACTTCATCAAAAATTAAAAACAGGAATTGCTTAAAAAGCTTATCTTAAGAGTTCAGCAATATATCAATATAATAATCCTTAAAGCAACATATCAATGTAAAAGTCATGTGTAAATAAAAAGCCAAATCAGCAGAGGGCACAAGCATATATTGCCAAGTATTAACAAGTTTTTCAACATAATAATTTGACAGTTTGTAAGAATATGTGCTAGAATATAAAATGATTGTTCTTTTTACTTACTCTTTGTAGTAAAGGCAAAAGCATATTCAGTGGATTACTCAGATTAGTTCCAAAAATTATGAAACCAGAATTGATTCCAGCTGAATGAAGAGCTTTATCCAAACTAAAAAAGTAAAATAAAAATTATAGTGATTTTTACATATTATATGACCACATTTTCAGTTAATTTATAACGTAAGCATGCAAATTCAACTGAGTCAAAGAAAACCTCAAAAAACAAATTAAACGTCACTTAAATATCTTACAGATATTGATCAATTAATAAAGAATAAAGAAATACTAACTACTATTGAAACATTTTAGTCATTCTTTGAGTCAATGCTCTAAAACACTTCAAGTAAAATGGCTACTGAAGATGAACAGATTACAGTAATAGAATTATTCAGCATGGAAAATGTGTAACATCATAGGATTTGTATAAGTACTTTAGTAAATGTGTCTAGTGTACTTACTTTGACAAGAAGAGAGAAATTACAAACAGCAATGCAACTAAGATGAAAAATATTCCCCAAATGATCTAAAGGCAAAAATAATAATAATAAAGTCATTGAAATATAGTTCTAAAAGTTGACATTAAAAGCCAAAACCATTATGTTCAATATGAGTTGCTGATATATGACCATGATCGAACCAAAATGATCCAAGATACATTTTAATTTAGTATATATTTTTAGGCATTTGTCATCTAAATTTCCATTATGAGATTGAGAACATACACAAAACAGACAAAGCATTTGAAAGTCTTCATCTGTAAGTAAACAAATGAGACTCTTTGCTAGGTCAAATAAAAGGTTTATTTATATCATTATACTCACACATAAACTTTAAAATTAATTGAAAAGTTAAGACTAATAGGACTACACTAAGACTAATATACACACACAAAAACCAAAACCAAAATACTTATCAGGTTATATTTAACTTGTTAAAATATGGAATTTGGAACATTTTCCCATAGAAATAATGATGTACATATATATACATAATATACATATACATACCTATATATGTACCATTTATATACACATATATATTGTATATGCCAATTATATGTAAAAAAATTATATCATAGCCCAGAAAAGACTATATAACTGAAAATATTCCTGAAATAGAATACTAGAAGCACCAAAGAAACTGTCATGTAAAAGCATGTTTCTGTGGAGAAATGTGTTAAGCAATGTAATTGGTGGGACATATTTCCTTTTAATGTCTAAACTTTATATTAGGGAAGGTAGAAAATAAGCAAAACAATTACTGGAACTAGGTTCCTAAGAAATAAAATTTCAGAATAAAAAAGGGGTAAAACCAATGTTACTAATAACCTAGGCTTTTTGTTCTTGACATCTCAAGTTCCAGAGACAACTAGGCTGAAGAATTCACAAAGCTAAGTCCATGATTACTGAAAAATACATGTGTTAGGCAAGCTTTGTTCAGGTATGAGTTATACTGTTGTTGGTCATAAGTTCAATGTTGTATTGATCAGCTGTTGATTTCCGAGTCCCAATCCAAGCTTTTCTAAGCACTAGACTAGAGCCTCACTGCTGCACTAATGTAAAGATGGGTTAGACACCTACAAGTAGATTTACTCTTTCATAAACGTCAATATTCATACTACAAAGTTCCTGACAATCTACAAAAGACCTTGTAGATTACATGAACTCTAACACTCAATTACTACCAACAAAAAACATCCAAAACACATCAAGTTAGCTTAAATTAAGAAGCACTACACTATAACACAAAATGTAACTCTCAAATAAAAAAATGATCAAGTAAAACTTTGGAATGGGTAGTTATCCTTCCAATAAATATTTAATAATCCTACTTTAGAGTTAGAAAGAGTCAGTCATTGCCTTTAGGCATTCTAACGTAGTGTGGCCTATAATAAAGAAAAACCACACATGCTTTAAATACTACTATCTTAAGGATATCTGCTACATCTTTAAACATAATTCATATTCAATTTCAGTGGATGCTAGGATAACAGAAATAAGTAAAAAAAATTTTATGTATTCTCACAGACCTTCAAAACAACTACACACTGTCAGTGTGTAATAAAATTAAATTTCACTGCTTGCTTACCTTATGAAATTTAGTTATGTTTAAGTTTGTTTATTGTTGGAGGATTGGGAAAGAAGTGGGGCAACCCGAATTACAAATTTTACCAGTTCTTTATTTTGGATCTTCTTCAAATAAACATAAACATGTTTTTAAAAGTATGTGTACACTAACAATGAATAATCTGAAAAGGAATTTAAGAAAGTTCCATTTATGTAACATCAAAAAGAATATTTAGGAATAAATTTAAACAAGGAGGCAAGCAAGTGATATATACTTAAAACTACAAAATATTGCAGAAAGAAAGGAAGACAAATAAATGGAAAAACATCCTATGTTCATGAATTAGAAGGCTTAATATTGTTAAACTAGGGGCTAAGTGCATGAATTCATGCACCTTGAAAGGAACTGTGAGCCACGAGGCTGCGGTGGGCACAGGGGCGGGTCTCGGCCCATCCTCCATGCCCCCGCCTGGCCCCTCCTGCTGAGGCCCCCGGTTCCCTGTCTGCTGGCTGCCCTGCTCACACTGCCACTGATGGCACAGAGCAATTGGGGCTGGTGCCAGCAGTGGGTGCAAGCAGGGCCAGTGCCGTTCAGTGGCAGCTGCTGCCCTGGTTGCCCCTCAGGAGCACGGGGAGGTGGAGAAGCCCTCAGGGGTGACAGGGGCCAGCAGCTGCCGCTTGCACCCGCTGACAGCACTGAGCAATCGGGACCAGCGCCAGTGCAAGCGGGGCCATCACCAGCAGTGGGTGTGAGAGGCAGCTGCTGGCCCTGATCGCCCCTCAGGAGCAGGGGGAAGTGGAGAAGCCCTGAGGGGCGATTGAGGTTGGCAGCTGCCACTTGCACCTGCTGATGGTGACAAGCAATCAGGGCCGGCGCCGGTGCTGGCAGCGGGTGTGAGCAGGGCTGGTGCCGGCAGCAGGTATGAGTGTCAGGCAGGACCATGGCATGCAGAAGCAAAGAATTTTCAGTAACCACCAGAGGCTCGCCCCAATGACAGCAACCGGTGTCCTGCCTTGGTCTGACGCGCCCCCCCCCGCCCCCGCCACTCATCTGCTCCACCATCTCGCTGCGGCTGACACCCGCCATGTTCCACACTCTGCCGCCTGCTGCCAATGCCCGCCATGTTTCGTGTACACCCCCTGGTGGTCAGCACACATCATAGCGACCGGTTGTTAGGTTGTTCTGCCGTTCAATCTATTTGCATATTAGGGTGTGTGTGTGTGTGTGTGTGTGTGTGTGTGTGTGTGTGTATGTATATATATGACAATACTACTGAAAGTGGTCTACAGAGTCAATGTAATCCCTATTAAGATCACAATGGTGTATTTTTGCAAAAACATAAAAACCCATCACTACATGACTCACACATCCGAATTTCAAAACTTACTACAAAGCTATAGTAATAAAAACAGTTTTGGAACTGGCACACAGATGTACTTATAACCAATGGAATAGACCCCAGAAATAAACCAGCATACTTATAGTAAAATGATTTTTGACAAGAGTGCCCAGCCCAGTCAATGGGGAAAGGATAGTCTTCTCAACCAATGGTGCTGAGAACAGGCAATCTATATGCAAAAGAATGAAGTTGGTCCCTTTTCCTTTACCATATATAAAAATTAACTCAAAATAAAAGACCTGGCCAGCATGGCTCTGTGGTTGAGCAACGACCTATGAACCAAGAGGTCATGTTTCAATTCCCAATCAGGGCACATGCCCAGGTTTCAGGCTTGATACCAGTGTGGGGCTTGCAGGAGGCAGCCAATTGATGATTCTCTCTCATCACTGATATTTCTCTCTCTCTTTCCCTCCCCCTTCCTCTCTGAAATAAAAACATACATTTTGTAAAAAATAGACCTAAACATAAGACCTAAACCTGTTAAACTCTTAGAACAAAACTCTTCATGGAGTTGGACTTGGCAATGTGGAGAAGAGACTGTTCTATAACAAGACAGCTGTCTATCTACAAGCTGGATCTTGGCCAAAAGGGGGGTTGCTTTCCATAAACCCCTCTTAGAGACTGTCTGATTATAACTGATGTTTATTCTGACATACATCAGCAGCCTTTCCCTACCTCCTGCTATGTGCTGGCTCCAGAAACAGGTTGTTGTTCTGACCTGGTCAAGCATGTAATTTCCTATACCTGGTAGTTTTCATGTACTAGTACCAGTGACTATTCCCCGCTTTTAACCTACACAATCCTTTGGCACCTGGTTTCATTACATTTTGCAGCCACCCAAGACAGGCCTTGTATGTGAGTTTCCCTTAATAAACTCCATTCATTACTGGAATGGAGTGGCCAGCTTCTTTCTTCAGTCTTTCCCTGCCCTCCATTTATGGAGGTAGTCTCAGGGTTTTTCTTGGGGTCTGCATGTTCCAACAGGCAATTGTTTTTAGATATAACCAAACAGCACAGTCAACAAAAGAAAAAAACTGAACATCAAAATTAAAAACCTTTGTGCATCAAAGGACACTATCAACAGAATGAAAAGACAACTCAAGAATGGGAGAAAAATATTGCAAACTATATGTCTAATAATGGATTAACATTCAAAATATTTAAAAGAACTCATAACTCAGCAACAATAAAACATAAACAATTTTAAAATGGACAAAGGACTTGAATAAAATCTCTCCAAAGAAATTATACAAATGACCATAAATCAAATGAAAACATGCTCAACATTACTAATCATTATGGAAGTGAAAATCAAAACCATGACATACCACTTCACAACCATAGGTTAGCTGTTACCAAAACAATGGAAAGTAAGTGTTGGCAAGGATATGGAGAAATGGGAACTCTTGTGCATTGCTGGTAGGAATGTGAAATGCGCAGCTGCTGTGAGTTTGTAGATTCCACAAAATGTTAAACATAGAATTGCCATATAATCCAACAACTTCATTTCTAGATAGATATTCAAAAGAATTGAAAGCACGGAATCAAACAGACACTTGTACACCATGATCATGGCATTATTCACAATAGCCAAAACTTGAAAACAACCCAAATTTCTACCATTAGATAGATGAATAAACAAAATGTGATATATACATACAGTGGAACATTATTCAGCCTTAAAAAGGAATAGAATTTTGATACATCTACCAATGGATGAACTTTGAAGATATTATGCAAAGTGAAATAAGCCAAATATAAAAGGACAAGTATAGTATAATCTGTTATATAACATTCCTGGAATAGGCAAGTTCAGAGAGACAGAAAGCAGAAGAGAGGTCATTAGGGGATATGTGGCTGGGTATGGGGAGAAATGGGAAGCTATTATTATTTAATGGGTAGAGTGTTTTTTGTTCAGGATGGCAAAAAAGTTCTGGAAATGAACAGTGAATGAATTTAGTAAGTATATTGCACAATATTGTGAATATACTTACTGCCACTGAATGTAAACTACAAAGGGTTAAAATGATACATTTTTTTTTAAAATATATTTTATT